CCTCCTCCTCTCCTCACCCCACCTGGCAGACTCACTCCACCTCCTCCTCCTTGAGTTAAGGATTCAGAAGAAGTGGACACCCCCTCTGGCTGCCTGGAGGACAGAGATGGAATTGCTGTGTGATTAGAAGCTGCCGAACCGGAGTCTGGGCATTGGTTTGGACTAAGACCCGGGTGTGAAACTTGAAGCTGGGCTGGAGCAGTAAGTGAGGATTGGGCTGACACTGCAGAAGTGGCAGAGGACAGGCTGGAGGAGCCCTGATTCGGAGCCGGGTTATGGGCTGTGGACTGTGCCAAAACCCCCTGGCAGCGACGCTCCTCCCTGGCAGTGTGTCGTTCAGAGGCAGAAGTCCGGCCGTGAAGAGGTGGATAGTAGTGCTGGTTAGAGAGGTCCCCTCCGAGTGCTGCCCCCACACCCCGTACTACCCTTCGGTCCCTTGGAGCCAGACTGCTGCTGCCTAGTCCTGACCACCGGCCTGGATGATTGGTCTGAGAGAGAAAGACAAGGAGAAACACAAAAAAGACATGTTAAAGAGACTTACTCTGCTTTGTCTGTGCCAGTGAGTGTGTGAGATGTGAACCTGCCGTTTGCCAGAGAATGATTCACTGAACACGTCTCAAGACAAAAAAAGAGCGCGAGAGAGAGACGAAGACACAGAGACAAATAGAGAGACAGAGAGAGCACTGTTGTGTGATCAGTATAGATTGTTAATTGGGTGACATTTGGAGAACGATCTCTCTGAGCTCCTGCAGCTTGTTCTAATTGTTTCTAAACCAACCGGAACCCTGCTCACTAAAGAACAGGCACACACATTCAGACATACATACATACACACACACACACACACACACACACACACACACACAAAGAGAGAAACAGGACAAGTTACCATGTGCATGTATGGAGATACGCGCTCAGGGCATGCACAAATCCCCACTCACAAAGCAATAGGATCTCACTCTCTCTCTATCACACACACACACACACACACACACACACACACACAATGGGTAAGATGGCACTTAAAGCTAGATGGCGGAAACAGGAGCCACCTGTTCTCTTTCACACTCCACTGCACCCCCTTATGCAACATATCTCATCACTGTCCCCCTTCTCTATCTCTCCTTTCCCTCTCTCTCTCTCACACACACAAAACCAAAAATCACACCAGGACCAAGTGTGCAATGTTCACTAAAGTAACACAATCTCTTCTGACACTGAACCTCATGGGAGCGTAAGTTGAGTTGACGTTTGCTGACACAATGGCTGTGTGTGTTCTCTCGTGTGCTTATGTATGAGCATGCGTTTGCGTAATTGTATATGCATCTGATGTGTTCCCGTTTGTGCATGCAAATTAATATTAAATGTAATGTAATTGCTGTGTCGAGACTGTCGGAAGGAATTTGGTGTGAGAGGTAGAAATGTAATTAGCCAGAACGGCGGCTAACTGAATAAGTACAGTATAGCAGAAAGCACATCAAAGAAGGAAGAGAGAACTTGGGGAGATCACAAAGAAACTTACAAACGATGCTTATTGGACAGAGAAATGTTAGCTGTGATGTATAACAGGCTAAAGTATCACAAGTACCGACAGATAAAACAAAAAAAGGAGGAGTTAGCTGTACTGCAAGCACTATATTGGTTATTCTTCAATAAAACTCAATACAACCGAAATTTAGTCAGTTTATTAATCAAATCTTGATCTTAATTGAATATTATTCCACTTAGTTACATGCGTTTTCAAGGTATAAGGAGCAACACACATTGGTGGAGGTGTGAGGCACCTATTTTCCTTGACATGTATCATTGCGAGTTGACACTAGTCATTTTATCAGCACATACCACTGACCTCTTTCCCAGCGTCAACGCACGTCAGCACTTCAGCTGCAATTTAATTCACTCTCTGCATCGACCCCTCTCAACTACTGTGATTTGACAACTTCTTCTGTCTGCATGACATGTCGAGTGTGTGCTGCACTTTATAACACCTTTTTGTGGCGTCTTGTGGTGTACATCGAGTTCCACAAATAAGTAGCCAGTGTCATGCTAGTGATTTGGCTCAATACTTTCTATACTGCTGTATTCTAATGCTCAGACAAAAAAAAAGTACAACCCTTATTGTACGCTGTAAACACCTGACAGATTATATTTAATAAATAGTCCCTTTCATAAAAAAGAGAGTTGTACTAATTATACTATGTGGTTGGAAATTCTGTCTGTGCAATGGCTTGTGAGATTTTCCGCCCCTGAACACCACCAGACTTTTAATATCTTACTGTGAGGTGCTATTTCTAGCTTTTTTTGCATTTCAAAGTATGAAAGGATTCTATGAGGATTTAGCTGTGACTATGCTGGGCTCTAATTTAGTCTGAGGCAGTGTGGAGTACAAGGTGGGGTAAATATGATAAATAAACAAGGTCCTGAGAACAGAAGGAAAAAAGAACAAGCGAAGGGGTTGGCCTTGCTTTGAACCTTTCTGTTCTTGATACCGATCTCTGTGATAAGAAATAAGATTTTTCTTTTCTCGTCTTGAAGATAAAGAATTTTATTTTACACAATTGTGTGTATGCCAGTTCATTCAGACCAGCTGACAAACACACAAAAGACTGTTTCATTTGTTAATAACATCTTAATCTGTCCATGCTGCTTGCGTCTGATGCTTGTATTCCCCCCACTTCCAAAAACCACCAAAATCTGAATTACAGCCAAACAATCTGCACTTTAAAAGCTCAGTCTCTATGTCCTTTCATGTCCAACTGTAAAAAAAAAACATACACAACAGCACTCTGCCAAAACATCAAACAGTGTGTCGTTGTCTATGCAGCTTACTTAAAGAGCTCGGGGAGTGTGTCTCTGCTTTCTAATGGGCTCTAATGGGTGGATAAACACTACAAGACTTCTTGCAGATTCCTTGATCTAATTAAGAGGAGTGAGAATTTCCATTCCAGCCAAATTTTCTACATAGGGGCGCTGTGAAAAAACATGAGGGAATTGCCAAGGTGTTGAATATCCACTGTGGCCGTGGAGGTTTATGTGAGACGGCTTAATTAGGGCTAAATCGCTAATCTTCCACAAAAATCTGTGGCGTTTCTCTATCCACAGACATTTTAGAAAACAACAGAAGGTAAGGCGAGAACAGTAAGATACAAATTGGCAGACAACTTTGAAAGAAATAATTACCAGGCAGAGTACAAAGAGTTGGTTGTAGAGACATATGCTCTGTATCAAAGGGACATTTCTTATCCAAGTTTGTAAAAAAAAAAAAAGACAAGCTCAACAATTAATCAATGCAATGACTCAAATGCAACTAAAACTGGGATTAAGCTGAGGAGGCGTATGTGCGAGTGCACGAGAAGGGCAAACAGACAGAGAAGGAAAAAGGTCAAGCTCAATGAAAGAGAGGAGTAAACAAACTGAGAAAAGGGTGAGCAGACAGGAGGAAAAAGAATGAGAGACTGGCAAGATAGTGATTAAAAACAGAGATAAAGCTAAATGAGAACAACAGACAGCAAGGTGCAGAGAGAAAGAGAGCAGGACTGATTTACAAACTCAGGTGTCCTTTCTCAAGTACACACTCTGCGGCAAGCAGGCTGCCTCTTCGCCAGTGACAGAACGGCCTGTGTGTGTGTGCAAACACTCTGGAGAGTCTCTATTACACACAGAGTCCTATAAATACACACACACACACACACACACAGGTACATCTGAGTGATTTAAGGGGGCCTTCTCCTGCAACCTTAGTTTTTATTGGGCAGTGAAGAACACAGCAATGTGGTAATGGCCAAGTTTGCATAAAATAGCTCCTTAAACATCACCACACAATGTTTGCTATTACCTGTCTTAGTCATTTTTATACAAGGAGAAGAGAGGGGTTGGGAGATTTATTTCATGACTTGCTCCCCCCTCAAACAAACTAAAACCAAGTAATTATAGAGAACAAAATGGACTATAGAGTACAAATAGTACTCCTACTGTAACTGCCATCAATCACACACCATGGCTCAGTATCCCTGCACCCACACACCTAATTTTAATGAAGGCCACAGGGCTGAAATGCATTGGACCCCAAAAGTTTTCAACTCTTCAGAGACAAGAGAGGTAAAAGTTTGCAAATGTGAATTCTTTTTTTTTTCTTTCTTTTCTTTTTTTTCTTTGACACCTACATACTCTGTGAACAAAGTAATCCTGTGGTTCTTTGACAGTATGAAATGCCAGGGTGTTTAGATACAATAATAGTTGAGTACACCCACACAGATGGTACTCTAAATCCTATTTAGACAATAACAAAATACATTTCCCAACCATGATGTGTGAGCCCAACCATCCCACTTCATCCTGTCTACCTTTATCTCATCAGACAGTCTCATTTATATTTGTTTGCACATTTATGCCCAGTGTGACAGAAAGGTAGAGTTAACAAGATCCAAGAACGTAGGACCCTCCAAGAACTGTAATTTTCATCTCGCCTCTTAAACAATAATTACACTGTTGATATTGTTCTGTAAGGACAAACAATGCTTTTTCAGTTCTGAGGTAGTAAACAGTACATCAAGATAATTTGAAGAAATCACAAAAGCAAAGAGTTCTAATGCGCTGCTAGTGCTGTGTGTGCAAAGCAAGCTGAGCAACTTGATGTCAACAATCAAGAATCCCACAGTGCTACTACAACTACATGCCCAGAAAGTATCATCCAGTATTGATAGACAGATAAACAAAGGCACTTTGCTGGATAAATCTGCAATAAACAATCAAATCAGGGGTGAAACTGTATCCTGAGCCTGGTGTCTCAAGGCCATAGCATACCTTTACTTTGAACTTGCTGGTTTTCATCAATACACAACCCCCTTAGGAAGTGAGCCTTTTGTACAGCCTGTAGCAACATCCTTGCTTCCCACTCCCTCTCTTCATCTAGACTTTGTTGTAGTCCTCCCTCCATCTTCCCTCTATTCCCTGCCTCTCCACACTATTTCCATATACAGCTCAGCCAATTTCCAAACCGCTGTCTTGCTCTCCACCTCACCCGTCTTTCCGAATTTTATGCAAAATTTAACTTTATTATATGGTACAGGAAACACATTGAAATTCAGGAAATGCAGTAGTACAGTAGTAAATCTGCTACAGATCAGGATAGTAATTCCACCAAAGTAAGAACAGGAGAGGACAGAACAAAACAAGTAAATAACGGGAAAGGTCAGAATTAATACTGTGCATTACTAGACTAGGCAGGGAATACAGGAAAGGACACAAAAACAGGGCTGAGACATAAAAGAGCAACGTGCATTGTAATGTTTATTGCAGTTATGGTCAATGACCTTGTATGTAGTTACAGTAAATGAGTAGGTTGTTGAAACTGAACTATAAAAGCAGTTTTATAATTGCAAAATTACAAAAAAATGGAAACGAGGTTTGGTTGTTGACATTTAATAGTTTTTAGAAAATGTTTGACTAATGTGTTCTTGTAATTCAGTATCTGTTTCCTTTCAGTGCT